ATCTAAAACATTATACTATAAATATAAAGTATTTATTAGAAGTAATAAGATAATTAGTAAAATTATTAAAATAAACTCCTAGCTTATTTATATTAGCCAAGCTAAGTAGAAATAAAGTTTTTATAAATATAATATGAAATTATACTTATTTAATTAGTATTCTTACTATTATAAATCTAATAGAGAATATAGATCCGATATTAAACTAGATATTAACTTGACCTTTAGTAGTTTTATTAAGTTTAATACTATTATTAATCTGCTATAAAGCTTGGAATTAGTTAGAACTAGTAATTGAGAATCTAGAGGCTCCGGTATTTATTATAATTCTATAAAAGTAGTAAGTATTATATCTTAATATATTATTAATTATAAATATCTAGGTATTCTCTATTTATTTAGTAGGCTTTAAAATATAGTTTTTGCCTATTATCTAGTATATAAGAGAAAGAGAAATAAGGTTATTTATAAAGGTATTAGTTATAGAAATAATAGGAGCAGGGGCTATAGAAATAGCTAGGAAGCTCTTAATAGAAGTAAAATAGAAATTAGAATAATATTTTTCTTCTTTATTTATTTCTACTAGTAAGACTTTAAAAGTATTACTTACTAGTTTATTTTTACTATTTTTATTATTTTCTTCTTTTTTAAATTCGGTAATATACTATATATAAGTATTACTAAAGTATTTATTAAAGTTATAGATATTTCGGGATCTAAATTAGTAAATATTTCTATTCTTAAATCAAGCCTTTTTAGCCTTTTATTTCTCTAGTATATATTTCTATAAGTAGTATTCGGGTTTCTTATATATAAAATATAACTTCGGAATATAATTATTATAATTATAGGACTTGAAGTAGTTATTACGGGTTCCGAAGTTATAACTGGATCTGTATTAATAATTTTCAGACAAATAATAATTTAAAGAATTTTGAAAATAGTATTATTAATTAGTAAAATAGGTTTTAGTAATAATTTATTATTTCTTTTTATAGATAGTAATAGATAATTAGAGCTTATTAATAAGCTAGCCGAGATTATTAGGAGAGTCCGAGACTATATATTAGTATACTAGTAAGCCTTAATAGGAAGTAATAATCTTATTATATAGGAATTTAGTATTTTATAAGGCAAGAATAAGGCTATATTATAATTTATATAAGTTATTAATTAGTATTTAGATAAGCTTAAATATTGTTTTTTTTTAGAATTCTTTATTATTATAGTTACTAAATAATAATATTTCATTTATTTAAATTTTAATAATAGAAACCGGGGCTTTTAAAAAAGCTATAAATATTTATATAGGCCTCTTTATATATATGGCTCGAGAGCTAGTTATTATAAAAGCAGTCTTATACTAGGCTCTTTAATATAATAGGAAAAGCTTTTACTAGTACCTTTTCTAGAAGCTCTATATATTAATAGATATTAAAGAAAATAGTAAGTTTATAATTAAAACTACTATTAATTCTATTATATTTCTATATTTCAGAATATATTTTTACTACTTTCCTAATAAGCTTTTTAGTAAAAATAGTAGGTACTAATTAATAGTAGTTCGGGTTTAGTAGTAATACTAGTAATAGTAAAAATAGAAATAGTAAATAGCCTTAACTTAGAGAAAGTAAATAGATAGCTTAATTTCTCGACTGAGATTATCTGGTTTCCTTATATCTAGTTCTATCTAAAGTAAGATAAACTAATATAATAGATCTCTAGAAAAAATCTATTCTAATTAGACTATTATTAATAATATTAGTTTTGTTCTATATACTTTTTATTTTCTTTTAGGCAAGATTAATAAAGAATTATATAATAGTAAGGTTTCTATAGTTCTATTTAATATAAATATTATTATAGTAAAATTAAATTCGAAGATTTTATATAAGTATATAGCTAATTAGATTATATACTATATTATTAAAGTTTTTAAAGTTATTCTAGAATAGATCCTATAAATTATTATTACTTTTCTTATATAAGGTATATTAATATATTTTAGTAATTATATATTCCTGAAGTTTAGCCTTTATTATAATTACCGGATTAATACCGTCTTCCTATTTCTTAATTAGCTTCTTTTCCTTATTAGTATCTATATTAAACCGAGTTTAGGTTCTTCCTAGTATATATATATGATTTGTAATAGAAGGGGTTTAAAGGTAAGGCAGTTTGTAGTAGGTTTATAAAAAGGGTTTAGTAGTAAAAATGTCTAGATACCTGGTTCAGATACCTAGTTAAGATACTAGATACCTAGTTAAGATACCAGATACCTAATTCAGATACCTAATTAAGATACCAGATACCTGGTTCAGATACTAAATACTTCAGATATCTAGTAGTATTAAGGATATTAAAGTAAATATTTCGCCCTTAAATATTTTATCTATAATAAGAAATTTAGGAAGTGAAATATTATAATTCCGGAAGAATCTAAAGCTTAAAGAACTTGATTTAATAGTAAAATTAAAGTAGTAGTTAAAGAGCTTTAAGGGCATATATAGAGTATATATTCCGGAAAGAGAGTTCTATAGATACGAGTATTATATAAGTAGAAAAGATAGTTTTTAAGAAAGTAATCTTAGGACTAAAAGAAGTTAGTTTTAAAAAATAATAGAAATTAAATAAATAGATAATTAAATGGCTAATTGCTTATTAATTAATAAGAGCTAGATATCTTTTCTATAAGCTACTAAATGCTTTTATAAAATTAATAAGTAATTCCTTCCTTTAATATAAAATAGACTAGATTTGTCTTAGGCTATTAAATACTTTTAGAACTAATCTAAAATCTTTTCTAATCTATATATATAAACTAATTAGTATTAGTTTACTAGTAATATATAATTATATTAATTAAAAATTATATTATTAAAGTTTTTAAAGTTATTTTTAAATAAATTCTATAGGTTCTTATTAGAAGTTCTATATAAGATATATTAATATAGTTTAGTATTTAGATATTTCCGAAAATCTATTTTTATAATATTAATAATATTAATTCTATTCTTTTATTTCTTAATTAACTTCTTTTTCTTTCTAATATATATATATAATTTATAATAAGAGATATTTATAGATAAAATAGTTTATAATAGATTTATAAAAAGAGTTTAATAATAAAAATACCCAGATATTTAAATATTATTAAAAGTATTAATATAAATTTTTTATTCTTAAATTTTGTATTTATAATAAAAAATTTAGGAAATGAAATATTATAATTCCGAGAGAGTTTAAAGCTTAAAGAACTCGATTTAATAATAAAATTAAAGTAGTAATTAAAGAGCTTTAAAAATATATATAAAATATATATTCTAGAAAAAGTAATTTATAAATATAGATATTATATAAATAGAAAAATAATTTCCAAAAAAGTAATTTTAGAACTAAAAGAAGTTAAATAAATAAATAATTAATTAAATAACTAATTATTTATTAATTAATAAAAGCTAGTATTTTCTTTATAGGCTATTAAATACTTTTTCGGAAATAATAATAGTTCTTTTTTTAACTAGAAGTAAATTACTTGTTTTAGGCTATTAAATACTTTTCTAACTAGCTAGGTTTTCTTTTAATTTATAAGTATTAATTAATTAGTATTAGTTTACTAATAATATATAATATTATTATATAATATATAAAAAATACAAATATATTAAATTAGTAAAATAATTATTTTTTAGAAATAAGAATTATAATATTATAATATTAATATATAATTCCTAAATCTGCTAAGTCTAATAAGGTCTAGTTTACTAGTCGAGTTACTTATAAAATACGAGATTATATAACTATATCCCGTATTTTATATCCTGTTATTTATATCTTATATCTCGAATCTTATAACTATATATATAATTTCTTATATAAAATTAAAGAAGACTAGTTTTCTTATATATTTTAATTAAATTATGTAATAATAAATAAGTTTATATTTATAAAACTAAATTAGAAGTTATTAAAAATTATTTATTATTTTATTATTATTTATTTATTTTATTTTTAAAAGTAATAAAAAATACTTATATTATTAAAAGTAAAAATTAGTGAAATTAAATAAAAATAATTCTTTTAAATATTAAAATACTAGTAAATTTAAAAGCTTTTAAATTTTTTAAATAAATATAAAGTTATAATATAATCGAATATTATTATATATTTAATAGTTTTTATTTATTATTATTTTAGCTTTAAATTAATTAATTATATATTTTCTCTCAATTATTATTAATCTTTATTATAATTATAATATAAAATAAAAAAAAGTATATTATTTTAAATAATAAAAACAAGACTTAAATCTCTTAAAATTATTATAAGAGCTAGTTTATTAATAATTACTAATTACTAAACTTTAGTTATATAATAATAATACTATTTAGGAAATATGAACCAAAAAATTATAAAGAGCTATAGTAATATGAGTAGGAATTTTAGTGAGTTGTAGTAATATAAGCGATATGAATAAATTTGGGCGAGCTGTAATAATACAAGCACTATAATTACAGGGAGCGATAGGTAGCGGGCGTAAGCTTGACTTACTAGCATACATCTCGTGTAGTTTTCCACGGGCTCCTATTCTGAGATATAGAGCCACCAGGCCTTAGGGACAGCGCGCGGTCTTTCGAGCACTCGTTCACAACCCCATTCCTTGATAATTAATATGGGAGGGTCGCCTAGGCTAGCCTCCTCTACCGGCAGCTGTGGCCAAAATCAGCATCCACTTTGACGGGGCGGATACAGATGTGCTCTTATTAAGCAGGAGTCATGGGCTTAATGGAAAGTTTGAGATGGCGATTCGTAGCGTCATGTATTTTACGTTCAACTCAACTTCGGTGTTCTTTCATAGGAAGCGAACTGTCAAGATGCTTCTTCCCGTGAAACATATATTGATGTCGCCCAACAAGCCGCCTCCCAAAGCCTTGATCGCCAGTATGAGCCCCTAACCACACAAGTATTTCGCCAAAGCGAATGGCAATGCATTTCTTCACCTCGATCGGCCGACTCGCAACTTATCTAAGGAAAACAAGTCCGGCGATATCAGCACACATCCTTCTTAATATCCAGCAATCTATCCCTAACTTCTCTCAATGTCAATCTCTGAGATCTTTTCTCCCCACTATCTTGCTTCGCAAGCCACTCCTCCATAACATTCAACTCCCTCATCCACCACTCTCGCGCTACATGCAACACACCTTCCTCGCGCGCTGTCTTTCCCAGCACCTCAATCCTCCCACCAACTCTCACAACCTTCTCCTTCTCCCCTCTCCACTCTGGAGCATCCCACGTACACTCCCAAATCAGCTCCCTCACTTTCTCCACCGACGTCCTGAACTCCGGGAACTCCATTGTCGGCTCATATCTAGCCGTATTTCTAAGATTCCGGCATACGCTTCCCTGACCCTCAAAAATACACCACAGGAGCTTGCCCAAAGCAAAGACAGTAGCCGCTTCTCTCTGCTGATGGGTAAGTCTCAGCCAAGAATAGCAGTATCCTTCTTTGGGGTTGCGATATCTATCACTTCCTTCCTGGGGATACGGTGGGGCGTTGGCGGAGGGGAAGTAGGTATTGAAAAGGAGCGCATAGTGTGTTGTTCTTGTGGTGGGTAGGGCAGAGAGAATGTAGGAGAGGTACTCATAGTATAGGACCTCGGGCGCGGACCAGGCGTACCAGTTTCCCCTTTGCTCGAAGTCGATGAGCACGGTGTTGAGACTACCGCTTTCATCACAAGCGCCTGACGTCTGGCAAGGATGAAGAACGATGTTCTCCGGTCGAAGATCGGGGTAGAAGCTCCTAGATGCATAAATATGCTGCAACACCTCCGTGATCTGAGTTGCCCATTTTATCTGCGTGGGAAGATTCAATATTCCCTTTACCATCTGCGAGGGGAGGACATCCTTGAGGGGGCCACCGAGATAATAGGGGAGGATGAAACCACAGACGGCAATCTTGCCACCGAATGCACATCGCTTCGTTACCAGGAAAAGAGGCCTGGATACTAAGTGCGGGTGCGGAGCCAGCGTAAGCAGGACCTTGAGTTCGTGATAGAGATACTCGGGTTCTGTGACATTGGACTTAAAAATGAACGTTTTGTTATCTTGGCTTGGAATGTATACAAGACTAACAGTATCTTGAATCTGACTGGTTAACCGTAGTGCTTGGAGATCCAGTATGGGAGGGAAATCCAGAGGAAGTATATCGTTCTTCCAGAGCGCTGCCAGAGCGTTGAGGGATAGCAAATTGCGTTCGAGATCGTGAGCCGGATTCACAAGTACAGGAGAATACTTCGAGCCTGTGACTTCTGAAATGATGAGTTGAGAGCCAAAAGGAAGTGAGCGAAATTCCGCTAAGAAGTTGGGATTTGATCTAGACCAGTGGTCGAGAATATGACAAAGGTGGTGTGAAATTCCTAGCTTTCCGACTCGAGAGTCTGTAAGAGTAGCCGAAATACTAGATTCAAAAGCAACGCGGAGTTCGTTTGAGTGCTCAATCTGGTCTGGAATGACCAGGTCTATTCTCAGAGGAGGCAGATCCGGAAGTAGAGTGATCGGTATCACAAAGAAGCGAGTTCCAAGGTCTGCGCACCCGTCAATGCGCCAGCCCAGTTTCGAGTTACAAAATGGCTGTGCACAATCGATGCGGTTCTTAGGGTTCAGTATCGAGACATCCCACTCGGTCAGCTTCTTCGAGGTCTTCTTACGTACTGTCTCTTCTGGACTTAGAGCACATGTGGGAAACCCAATGGCATCGATCAGACTAGCACTTATATCAACCATTGAAAGTATCAAATAAGTATTCTCCGGTCTATAAGTGTGGGAAAATATTACAGCCCCAAATGTGGCAGGTATCTCCAGATATCAATACCCCTCGCGATTCTGGGGGAATGGAATCAGCTCGCTGCTCGAATGGATGGGGCTCAACCGGATCATCTGACGCACCAGTGTTGGTGGGTGCTGTTTCTTTGGGCGACATGCAGAATTAATCATGCAAGTTGCATCATGCATCGAAAGCTGATTGGTGCTGACATTGGGGTTGGTGGGGGTTGGTTGGTTCTAATTGCAGTGCACCACCCTCCCTCTTTCACTTAAGCCTCATTTGGGATTTATCCGGCGGTACTTTCCTCTCCTCGGGTACCTATTGCCGCTCTTGTAATGTAAATTTACCTAGATAAGGGTCAATCGTACACTTTCTCCACTACTAAACCTTCTTCTCTACTAAACTTTCTTCACTAAATATCGGTTCGTAGCTATGGCAACTACCGGTTCAGCGGCACAGGTTACACCCAAGCATTTGATGAGTCTGCATGACTTATACATTGTTGACGGGAAGGGAGTGCCACCCCTTCAGCAGACAGCTCTTGCTCCGGACATCAGTTATACCCCAAATCTATCCAGGTATCTTAGTCGGGTATCGGAGAAAACCCGCTCTGGGAACCTAGAGAAAGAGGTTCCATCAGGCTGGCCGAAATATCTGGACTCGCCCCTCGCATGGACAGGTGTGGATTTTCCGAAACGGGAAACGTATGTCCATCAATTATCTAGTGAAGAGAAAGCCGACATAGAGAAAGCGTTGGAGTACTTCAAAGGTAGGCGCATATTCTTAACCTACTTATCGACTCTTAACGTATTGATAATAAAGGACTTGGTCTCAACGGTGACGAGGTGAGCCGAGACAGGTTCCCACTCACCATCTTGAACATCTTTCTCGAGGAAGCTCGCCGGGACCTTTCTCACGGAACAGGATTCTTCATCCTGCGTGGCCTGAACCCTGAGAATTACACAGCCGAAGACCTTACCGTCATCTTCCTCGGCATTTCCAGCTACATCTCAGGGAAGCGTGGTAGGCAAGATGAGACTGGAAGGATGCTTAGTGAGTATAACTGAAGATTCTACTTGTGAAACAACTCACCTGACGCAAGAGAAGCACATATTACTGATTGCGCTGCATCGTGCAGTCGCCATGGGCTGTCCCCGACAGAACATTCCAAGATTGCTCAAGTACTACTAGCCAAATTTCCTCCTTCTCCTCATCTGACCAAATCTCTGACAAAGCCTACAGCCCTTCCACGCAGATAATGCATGTGATATTATCGGCGTACTGGCTCGCAGTTGCGCCGCACACGGTGGGGGAAGCATCCTAAGTTCTTCGTGGAGAATGTACAACGAACTGGCGGCTACACGGCCAGATATAATCCACGTTCTGGCCACGGCCGACTGGCCAGTCGATAGGCATGTACTTTTCTGCCCACTCAGAGCCCTTATTGCCTGCTTATGAATTGTACTGATGGCTGACATGTGCGAAATCAAGTTTCGGCCGTGATCCTCCTTACAGTCGTCGGGCTCTTCTCCATCACCACGAAGACAATATCATCCTCTCGTTCGCACGACCTCCTCTCACCGGGCATCATTCCTTCCCTAGAAGTGCAGGAATTCCGAATCTGACTGAAGCCCAAGCTGAAGCACTGGATACTGTGCACTTTATCGCCCAGTCACATCAACTGATAACGACCATCGAGGCAGGGGACATACGCTTCTTCAATAACCTGGGTCTGCTACATTGTCGGGAACCTTATGAAGATAAAGAAGGACAGAGGAGACACCTTGTGAGGCTATGGCTGCGGGATGAGACCGGGGAGTGGCCGTTGCCACCTTCCCTGAGATTATCCTGGGCTCGAGTGTTCCAAAATGATGGCCGCCAGGAGAGATGGGAAATTGAGCCACCAGCAGTCGATTGGGAGATAATCCGTCATCGCGTATCTCACGGCGATTGAGTAGTCTTTTGCTCGGGCTTTGAATATTTCGTACATGGATTTTTGGGTCCGCGGTTCACTATTGTTTCAAAAAAGCGATCTACTTTCGGTGTTGTTGTTTCTGCGTGTACTGCAACGGTCTTGAAAAATAGTGATAGTAGTTATTATAGCAAATTAACCGCTTCAAAATTTGCCTCGTCCAAGTCCGTAAGATCTCTGCATTCATCCATGCCATTATTGTCAGATGCAAACTGTGGAATAAATCCCCCATAACATCTAATGGTTATACAGTCGGTTTTGGCTTCCAGTCATCGTCGTATAGTTGAGCAATGAAGTAGTGCTCGTGTTCGTACAGCTTTTGATCGACTACCTTAGCGAAGTGATGCTCTTTCAATATCTTAGCACTTTGCACCCGATTATCAGGGAGAGATGCATACTGTTTATCTTCACGTAATCCGCTGTTTTTTGGATAAACTGTGCCTGCTCTTCGTTCAAACTGGCCATCGATTTCATTTTCCCCTCTTTCCATCCATCTTCAAAGACCCGGTATCCTTTGCAAGAGTAGTGGAAATAAGCTAGCAGAATGTTGGCTCCCATCTGTATCTCGGAGATGGCATCCATGTTTGCAAATTGAGTCTGTTCTGTGGATTAACTAATTGCCAAAAGCGAAATCCGCCGTAACAGAATAGGACTTACTTTCATACCATGCTTCCTTGCATAAACAGCGTTTTTGGCAACTTTTAGAGAGCAGTCATGTAACAAAATAAAAGTGCATAGGTATGTTGAGAGCCCTGGGTAACGGGACAGTCAGTATCTGCCTTCAATGCCCCATTTGGAATTTTGAACTGCCTCAGAATGTAGTCCGACATTTTTGATTAGGAAAAATGATGCTCCACATAACACCTACAATTGCTTGGCTTGTTGGCTGTGATGAGATTGTAAAGCTGCTCCAAGATGCGAGGTTTAAGTCGGGCCATGATGTTGTGAGTTATCAGAGTCTCAATTTGAGCACCCATGACCGGTGGAATGGGTATCTGTCCATGCATGGGGTGAGTTTCGTCGAGGAGATTTTGAGGCATATCGAGTATGTCATCCCCACAGATTCGCTCTGATTTGGTGGTCATTCGAGAGGCCACCCAAAGCCGGACTATCATTTTCAACAGTATTTTCTCGGGTTCTGTAACCTAACAAGGTTAGTTCAACAGTGTAGACTATATATCAGACGCTCATAGACTAACTGTTGGACTATTAGAAGCTTTGATAGCTGTACCGTAGGTCGCCCAGACTAGTCCGTCATTGCGATCTAGTATGCTATATAAATGCCGTGTCCCTTCTCGGTTAATGAAGTCCTTGTAGATCTCCAATGCCTCTCTCATGTTTGCAAATGCGTATGGTGGGAGAGTCACCGACTTCTTGACAGACCCATGAGCCCATCTTCGATCTAACATGTCTGATTCCAGAGGAACAAATTGCCTGACCTGGAAAGTTAGTGGCGTGGCAACATAATCCTGAGTCAGCTTGATTGTTCTTGTTTCCGAAGACGCCCAAACATTGATGTCTTTCAATTGCAAATCTTGCCATCTAGTGCTCCATACAAGTCCTGGTGCCATGCTCTCCGTAAAAAGCCGCACCTCGGTAAGCTTGTACCGCAGACACGGAAGCCTGGAGGCTTTGAATTTGGTAGGTTTCATGCAGGTAATGCATACGCCCCGTGGATCGTCAGGATTTAAGACACACTAGATAATAAATTACACATAGAGTCTTCTTGATCGTGAAAGCAACTTACTCTAATACGCTGCATTCTGCAACGAATACAGGCACCAACCCCTCGCGTCTGCGCTGTTTCCTCCCGGTCCTTTCGATTTTTATATACTCCTCGTGGTAGTCTACCAGGATTGTCGACAACATGCGGAGACTGTGATCTCTGCGGTTCATCTGCGCCATATCCCGCTGGGAGTTGTCCATACGACTCATCCCAAGATGGCACATTCTTTCCTTCCATATGTTCTTGACTTAGAGTAGGGGCTACGAGATAGTTTGAGCCAAAGTCATCTATGGAGGTTGTCATCGCTTGTTTCGATGGCGAGGGCTGTGTTGTTTGCAGCTCGGAGAAAGGAGAGAAGAACGGTAATTCTGGAATGGATGGTTGCCACTCAGGAGCGAAACTATCACAAGCGAAAACTGAATTGCACTATTCCAATCAACACACGTGCCAATTCCGCGCCTGGGGATATGGAACCTACCCACGTGTTGCTTGTTTCCGGGAAATTCCAAACATCTTGGCCGGAACCATAAGGGCCTGAATATTTCTCCGGAAGAGCTCCTGCAACAAGAGGGAAGAGGCATCAGCAGAACCGCTCGAATCAGGATATTGGTATTGACAAGGAGCACCCACTTTGACTTGCTCCACCGGAGATATCCGGTCTCTGTTGCTCGAACGGAAACAGGCTCGCAAAGCAGTCCCTCCAAGGACCATGTTCGAGTTGAAATCCAAAAAGAGGATCTCGCTTGGCAGAGGTGGGCCTCATGCCACTCGCGGCTCCAATTTGATGACCCTGGGTTTGGGCTGGGGTGAGATTGTCTACCGGTGGTGATCCTTCCGAGGAAGATTGTGTAAGCGAGGGTCCAGCCGACTCGAATAGCTCCTCTTCCATGGTCAAAGGCATGCTCGGTTGTCTATGGCTCGAGGAGTCTGGGGCACGAAGACGGGAGGACGCCTTTAGATCATTGATAGCATCAAGAAGACCGTCTGGAGAGATCTGAAATGTCTTCGCAGCGAGTTCAATGATCAATTGCTGCTTGTCCGTGAGAGAAATCTCGTTGCAAGGTGTCCTTCGAGCTCTTTTAACAGTGACCTCACGATTGACTTGGACGTTACCACATGATCGCTTTCTGCCGCTGGGGAACTCCTAGGCAAGCGTTAGGGGTCGGGATAAGGAGGGGACCAAATTGATGGGCAGGTGGCAAACCAGCAGATGGTTGCTTGTGAAAGGAAGGCAGCGATATGGGAGTTTGGAAGTTTAAATAGATAATAGAAGCATAATAAGGAAGAACGGTTGGAGGGCAGGCGGCTCTTACCATTGCAGCGGGTGGCGTGGGAGGCATCAACCATGGCCCATCGGAAGGCGGGGAATGCGCGGTGGTGTCAACCTGCGATACCTGAGAGCTAGCCTTACTGGGAAGACAAAGAACACGAGATCCACACCGCCTCGACGATGCAGAGGTTTGCCACGGTTCGTGAGAGGAGCTCCAATGCTAAATATCGCATGCGAGCAATTTCGTGCGTTGCTGGTATGGATGTTCTGGGACCCCTGGCAACCCGGGCGAGGAAGCGAGCCAATAGGAAGGCGCAGTGGCGTCACAAGCACCACGTAGTCTCCCCGAGCACGCTTTCCGTTGACCGGTGAGGCCTTGCCCGGTTCGCTTGCAGCTGTGCATGAGTGTGAAGTATCACGACCGCCACTCAGAGTGGCTTGCTCTGCTTCCGTGTCTCAAGGTAAAAGCCCAATCCGCCCTGGGAAAAGAAGCATGCCGCAAATGTCTGTTTTCCCTCCGACGGATGGCGCCGTCACACCAATCGTGCTCTTTTCTAATAAGCTTCTGAACTTACTGGTGCGGCCTGCTCCTCCCGCCCACGACGAGCTAGAAATACGGAAGAAAGCAGTTGCAGATCCAAGGCAGGGCTCTGCGTAGTGTTGTTGGATCCCAACACTGTCCAAGCCTTCTAACTTGAGAATGGCATCTAGGCCGTCCCCGGGTGGCCAGCGAAGTCCACCCCGAATCTCCTCAGGCTGAATCCTCCAGGCCGGAATGAAGACCACGAAATTGCGACGTCAAAAATGCTCTCCGAGCTTTGATTTCCGCTCTCGGCGAGAACCAGCCCGAGAGTGTCAGAACTGCACACTCTAGCAATAGCGAGAGTGTGCAAGCTTCGCTCGGCATGGCTCTCGCCGAGGAGGAAACATGTAGCCTTACAACAAGTGGGCAAGAAGATATAACACAATGTAAGTCCACCAGAAACATGTTTTGCTCGCAAAGCAACCTCATCTCGTCCTCCCAAAAGCTCGGGCAACAACCTCCTTTAAAACATTGAGTTTCTCTCTCCACAAATACGTGATTCATCGTCCCGCCCTTGTCAAGGCTGTACAATGGAGCATAGTGGACGAAAGCCTATCCCAAACCTGGCGCCGACCGCAAGGGAAATCGTGAGCGAACGCGTTGTTGTCAGTTCCTATCGGGACTTGCTTCGATGTAACGGTATGGATGCCTTCACATAATCCACCTCCTCCCCCTGCTAGACAAGTATCACAGTCTCCATGAAAGCTGACCGGTGGCAGAATTCTCTGCGCCAGTGAAATGCAGCAAGATAGAAAATCACGAAGACGATTTGTGGTCGCTAACTGTGAATCTTGGCGGAGAACGGGCAATAGATGCGAGATTAGAGACAGAGGCAAAGAAATAAATACTTGCTTTGCTATGACGATCTATAAGGTTAAGCCAAGTTGTAACTATCACATTTGAATCTATCATGGCCATGTTATAACCACAATCTTGGCCTAAACTAGAGTGCCTCCTTTTCCCCCTCTGTATGGGTCCAATAAATATTAAGAGGATAACTGTCTATTATTAGTAGAACATTAATTAAACACTCAAGCCATAAGATTAAGGAAGTCGGATTAAGTGCGTTGCTTCAGTTAATTTCATCAGATTTTGGACTAGACCACTGAGAGGCTGCCTTCACAGGAACAAAATGTAACGTGGCGAGATAGGTTCCAGTGGATGCGACCAATGATCTTCCTCTATTGACGAATGACTCAGCAATCTTGAATCCAAAATCCGACGCCACAAGGGAGGTCGCACACGAGGCGGTGAGCCTTATGAAGTTATGAATAACAGGCTGCCGCAGACTCTAAAATTCCCCCGAATGTGCCTTTCTCGCCTTGAGTGAATTCAGTCTCCCAAACCTTTCAGTCATGTCTATCCCGTTAACAGACGCATGTACAATTGATCCCATCTGGGATCCGTTCAAAGATATTATACAAACATTGTATCTCTAAGCCTCTCAGGGCAGACAGTTTTCAAAGACTGTCTGTCCCGTAATATTAATATAATATAAGGCAGTAAGGGAGGCATAAGCTTACTCCGCGGACTATAACCTTCTCTATCTAGCTATTACTTAATTAAATATAGAATTCGTAATATTATTAAAAGATATAAGCCCTATATATAACCTGACTTTATAGGCTTTTATTATAAATATATATTTGTATTTAGTAATAAGAATAAGCTAGTAATATTAAGAGAATTATTATAATTATAAAGCCATTTACTTTTATTTATATATTATTTATTAGGCTAAATTATTATTAATATTATTATATATTACTTTTTTATAATTTTATTTTTAATAATATTAATATAATTAATATTAGACTTTATTTTAAGATTAAAACTAAGCTTTTATTTAATAATATATCTTTAATAATTTATTATTAATTAATATTCAGGTTTATTTTCTTATATTTATTACTTTTAAAAATTTCGTAATTTTAAAAAGTTTAGAGAAAATAAATATATATTAGTAAAGTTATAAAATTAGCTTTTATATAAGTTAATAAAAAACTAAAGTAAATATTTAAATATTTAAAATTATAAGAGATATAATAATAGAATAATATATAAGTAATTAAGGTAAATAAGCTATAAAATAATACTTATAAATATAACTAATAGAATGAATTAGTAAGTTATAAAACTATAGTATTAAATTTATTATAGAACTAATCTCTATTTCTCTTATAAGATTCAAGGAAGCCTCTTCTAAATAGAAGGCCCCGATAATATATATATAATTAGTAATTTATAAGTCTAATACTTATAATATAAATAGTAGTTAGTTATAATATTAAAGAACTATTAATCCTCCTAATTAATACCTATAATATCCGAGGTTTATTATATATTCTTATATTATATATAACTCTATATATATTATAACCATATCCCTTTTCTAGAATCTTATTTCCAAGATCTATTAATCTATTCTAGTAAAATATTTAATTAATTATATATTTAATTGAGATAAACTTCTAGTATCTTGAGAAATAGCTTTATTAATATAATCTAAATAATAGATATAAAAAGTATTTAATTAGATTAGAACTAAATAAGTAAAAAGAAAAAGTAATTATATTCTAGATATAAGAGCTAGCTAGTAATTGTGATTTTATTTGGGAACTAAGTATTCTAATTAGCTTAATCTAAAATATTAAAATACTATTCTATAAAATTAATACTATTTATTAGATCTTATATTAGAATAATCTAAATAGCTATATAGAAAGAATTTAATAAAATATTTATATAAAAAACTTATATAAATGTTTCTAAGATTCTAGAAATTATTTATAGGCTTCTGGAAATATATATTAATTAGTTATACTAATTTCTAATTAGAACTAGTATAAAAACTAGTAGTTAATCTAGATAGTTCTCTATTTCTATAAAATAATCTTTTTATATTATTATATACTTTTTTTCTTTCTAATAACTATATATATAATAACTTCTTCTATTATTACTTTCTAGCCTTTTCTTTTATTCTTTTCCAAGTTTTCTTTAATTATTTTTAATTAATTCTATAATATCTTCTAGTTTTATTATCTGCTAATATAATTATAAATATAAAAGTAATTTTATAATCTTTTTTCCTATTACTAATAGATATTTGAAATATTTCAAGTATTTATTTATTAATTTCTTTATTTTATATATTATAGTACCTAGTAAAAAGAATTATAACTATTATAATAAGGGCTCTAAATCTTATATATTAGTAAATTCTTTAGTTTTAATATCTATTAAAACTAATATAATTTTAGATTTCTTATTATCTATTAGAGGCTTACTAGTTCTAGGAAAATATTATTATAATCTTTAAATTTTTTTAAAAAAATATCCTAAATAGTATTATCCTAATATAAATAATACTATTAATTGGGTTTTCGAAAACTAGAAGAAGTTTAATAAGCTTCGGAATTCTTCTTTCTATTTTAATAAAGCAGATAATAATATTATTTAGATTAATATTCTAAAGATAAGTTTTTCTAATATATTTAGATATTTACTAATTCTTTAAAGAAATATTACAAAATCTATTTTTAAAGTATTAATCTTATTACCGAGATTTCTATTAAGATTTCTAAATAAATTACTAATAGTATTTCAAATACTAATAATATAATACTTATAGCTATTCGAGACCTGATTTTAGAAGTTCGGATCTTTTATAAGATATATATAATAGTTATAAGTTTCTTATTTATTTCTTTTAATATTCTTAATACTAATATTACTATAGTATAACTATATTCTATTAAAGAATAAGCGGATTTCAGAAAGTATTATTCGATTCTTTACTAAATTCTAAATAGGGCTAGTATTTAATATTTTTACTTTAGGAATTAGGAATTTATAGAAATTAGAATTTATTTATTTAAGATATCTATAACTAGTTTACCTATAATAAATCTTTCTTAATCCTGAATTCTTTTTCTAATAATTTAAATATAATTCTTATAAGCCTTAATAAAATCCTAGAAAACTTTTATAAATAAAAAATCCTAGGAAAAGAATATTTCAATTACTATTCCGGGCTCTTTCTTAGCTATTTAGATTTTCTTTCTCTTTTAAGTAGCCTTTTTCTTAGTAGTCCAGAATTCTTTCTAATCTTAAAAAGTTATTAAAAAGTAGTTTTAGATTTCGAGCTATAGTTTTAATTATATAATTTTAGAAATTTTTTAAAAATTTTAAAATTAGGAAAAATAAATAATTATATATTATAATTTTTAAGCCAGGCTTTCTATTTAATTAAATATTATTACTTCTTACTTCTATTATTTTATTAGTAATTAATAATAGCTTTTATTTTCTATTCTTGTTTTTTATTATTATTTACTAATTCCGGAAGTTTTCCAGAAAAATATAAATATAGCTTCTAATTTTTTTTATTATATATTTCTTAAAGAAAGAAATATAGAAAGTTAAATATAAATAATTATATATATTTAATAGATCTAATTTATATACCGAATTACTAATATATTTAAAGATTTTAAATAGATCTATAAATTTTGGCTTAAGCTTTTCTATTTTAAGTTTAATATTTCTTATTAATAATATTATTTAGGCTTTTTTGAAATAGTATTTAGCTAACCGGTATTTATTATAATAGGTTTCCCGGTTATTT